TTTTACAAGACCCGGAGCGACCTTTTTCCGTCGGATCTTACAACCGAAGTACATCGGATCCTATAAAAACTACTAAATTTAAACCTATGAAAAACAAGTATTCGGTAATTTTAGGCAACCTGGCAATACCTGCGACCGTTTCTGCAAAAGTTACAAAGACAATCCTTCGACCCTCGAAATGCTGTCGCAGGCGGTTAAGATCCCGCATGTGGAAGGAATCGAGCTGGTCGGCACATGGGACATCGCCGGACAACGTCAAAGAGATGAAAAAACGCTTCGCCGATTACGGCGTACAGTGCGTATCGATCATCCCGGACGTTTTCGGCGACAAGGCATACGGGAAAGGCACGCTGACCAGTTCCGATCCGGCCGTCCGGCAAAAAACGCAGGACTACCTGCGCCAGATGAGCGAAGTGGCCCTCGAAATGAACTGCGGCATCCTGAACATGTGGATGGCGCAGGACGGCTACGATTACCTGCTGACCACCGACTACGACCAGAAACGGGAGTGGCTGAAAGAAGGAACCGCCCGGCTGGCCAAAGAGTTCCCGACGCTGAAGTTCGCGCTGGAATACAAGCCCAAAGAGCCGCGCAATTTTTCGTTTCACGCCCGCATGAGCGACACGATCCTGGCGGCCAAAGAGACCGAATGTCCGAACGTCGGCGTCACGATCGACACCGGACACACGGATTCGTAGCCGGCGAAAACGTAGCCGAAGCGGTCGTACTGGCCAAACGGGCCGGCGACCTGCTGTTCCACATGCATTTCAACGACAACCACGGCGCATGGGACGACGATATGATCGTGGGCAGCGTCCACAGCACCGTTTACGTAGACCTGATCTACTGGCTGAAAAAAACGGCTACGCCGGGTGGCTGTCGATGGACCAGTACCCGTACCGCGAAAACGCCGTCGACGCGATCGCCGAGAGCATCGAATGGGTAAGGCGTTTCGAAGCGATCGTCGACGATCATTTCGACGAAATAGACCGGCTGGTAAAGCTGAACGACGCGGTAGCGACCTCTCGGTTCATGCGCAAAGCGCTGTTCGGCTAAACGGTAAAATATCCGAAACGATTGAAGAATAACCGAATGAAGAAACAATTGCTTTACGGCATCGGCCTGCTGCTGGCCGGATGCCTCGGAATGATGCAGGCGGCAGGCAGGCAAGCTCCGGCCGCCGACCTGCGGATCGAAGGCCTGCGCTGCGAATACGCGACCGACCCGATCGGACTGGACGTCCGTCGCCGCAGTTCAGCTGGCGCACCGAATCGCAACGGCGGGGCGTATTACAATCCGCTTACCAGATCGTCGTCGCCCGGTCGCAAGAAGAACTGGCACAGGACAACGGCGTTTGGAACAGCGGCCGAATCGAATCGTCCCGATCGGCGGGCATCCGCTACGAAGGCCCCGCACTCTCGAGCAAGGAACGCTACTACTGGAAAGTACGCGTCTGGACAACCGACGGAGGACAAAGCGACTGGTCGGCGGCGGGATCGTTCGAAATGGGACGCTCGACGAAAAGGATTGGGTATCGGACTGGATCGCGTACGTACCCGGAAAACCCGGCCGGATCATCTATTTCAAAGGAACGTTCTGCCAGCAGAAAGAGGTCGAAAAAGCCCGGCTGTATATCTCCGGGTTGGGTTACTACGAAATGTACATCAACAACCGCAAGGTCGGCGACCATGTGCTGGACCCGGCCCAGAGCAGTTATGACAAGCGGGTCTACTACGCCTCCTACGACGTAAAAGACTACCTGTCGCAGGAGAACGTGCTGCTGGTAGCCGTCGCCCCGGGCTGGTACGGGATGCCGAAGCTGCGGATGCAGATGGAAATCGCCTACACGGACGGCAGCGCAACGACGCTGACGGCAAACCACCTGAGGGCCGTAACGACCGGCCCGACCGTCTATTCGACGGTCTTCGACGGCGAGTTGTACGACGCGCGCCTCGAAGCGCCCGACATCTACAAGCCCTTCGTGCCGGCCGGCCTGATGAACAAGGACTGGGGGCTGGCCCATATCGCCGACTCGCCCGGCGGGAAAATGGTGTCGCAAAAAATGGAACCCATCCGGTAGTGGATACGCTGACCCCGAAGATCATCACAGAACCGAAGCCGGGAGTCTACGTTTTCGATACCGAACAAAACCTCGCCGGATGGGCTTCGTTGACCGTCGAAGGGGAGCGGGGCCGCGAAATCACGTTGAAATTCGCCGAAACGCTGTACGACGACGGACTCGTAAACCAGGAGAACCTGCGGAATGCGAAGGCGACCGACACCTACATCCTCACAGGGCGAAGGCGTCGAAACCTGGGAACCTAAATTCACCTACCACGGATTTCGTTACGTCCAGGTCGAAGGCCTGCCGCACGCTCCGAAAGTCGGGGACATCCGGGTAAAAATCGTGCGCAATGCAGTGGCTCCGGTCGGGAAATTCCATTGCAGCAACGAACTGCTGAACCGAATACACCGATGGTCGTGGCCACCGAAGCGAGCAACCTGCACGGCGTGCCGACCGACGCCGCAGCGCGACGAACGGATGGGCTGGCTGAACGACCTGACCGTCCGCATCGAACAGGCGGTGTACAACTTCGACTTCTCGCGTTTCTACGCCAAATTCATCGACGACATCGCCGATACGCAACACGAAGACGGGACGATCACCTGCGTAGCCCCGTACCGCTTCGGAGCGCGGCCGGCCGACCCGGTATCGGCCAGCTACCTGCTGCTCGCGTGGAAATCGTACGAATATTACGGCAACCGGAACATCATCCGCGACCATTATGACGGCTGAAAGGATGGGTCGATTACCTCGCATCGCGTACCCAAGACGGGATCGTCGATTATAGCTATTACGGCGACTGGTCGCCGCCGACCCGTTCGCCGCAGCGCCCGGATCGGCCGTATCGCGCGGACACTCCGGGCCAGTTGATGTCGACCGGTTACCTGTACTACTGCGCCTCGATGCTTTCGAAAATGGCGGAACTGACGGCCACGACAGCGACAAAGCCCGCTACGCGCAGCTCGCCGAACGGACGGCCGAAGCGTTCAACCGGACATACTGGAACGAACAGACCGGCGGATATGCGGCCAATAACCAAGCCGCCAATTCGTTCGCGCTGTTTCTGGGTATCGTCGACGAAACGCGTATCCCGCGGGTCGTGAAAAATCTGGCCGACGACGTCGAAAAACACGACTACCACCTCACGACGGGAAACCTGTGCACGAAATACCTGATGGAGATGCTAACGCGCTACGGCCACGCCGAAACCGCCTACCGAATCGCGACCCAGACGACCTATCCCAGTTGGGGATACATGCTCCAGAACGGCGCGACGACGCTGTGGGAGCGATGGGAATACGCCACCGCGACGAGATGAACTCGCACAACCACCCGATGATGGGTTCGATCGACTCGTGGTTCTACAAATACCTGCTGGGAATCGTGCCCGACGCCGAACATCCCGGTTTCGACCGTTCACCATTCACCCCTATGTAGTCGACGACTTGGAATTCGCCGAAGGAGAGTTCAACTCGGTAAAAGGGATGATCCGCAGCGGTTGGAGCAAAAAGAACGGGGTGTTGTCGCTGAACGTAACGATTCCGGCCAATTCGGTCGCTACGGTGTACGTGCCCTCTTCGCGCGTAGGAAGCATCACCGAGAGCGGTAAAAACGCGGCGAAAGCGCCATCGGTACGGTTCCTCGGAGAACAGGACGGCTGCGGCGTCTTCGAAGTGGGATCGGGGGACTATCGTTTCCGGTCAACACTGAAAAAATAGGCCGGGCCGGAGATCGCGCCGGAAAACGGCGAACGGCCGGACCGAAAGATTCCGGATTCCCGTATACCTTGAGGGTAAAACGGGGATCCGGACTTTTTTACGCACCGGGCGACCGGCAAAGCAGATTGCACCTGTTACCGGACATTTAAGGCATTTCGATCTCTTTACAGGGGTCCCAGAAACCTTCCTCCAACCGACGATCCGGTCGCCGGCGACCTGCACGCCCTCCGATTCGAGCAGTTCACGCATCCGGACGGCTGCCGAAAGCATGACTGCCCGAAAGCCGTCCCTGGCTGTCGACGACCCGGTGGGCCGGAATGCGGGCTCGCCGCAGCTTCCCAGGATACGCCCGACCAGCCGCGCCCAGCCGGGACGGCCCAAAGCGCGCGCAACGGCCCCGTAGGAAGTGGCCCGTCCCCGGGGAACCGCAGCGACGATCTGACAGACCGCCTGCCTCAACTCGCTGAAATCGGATTGCTGCATCATTTTTTCCGTATCGTTCAATCGACGGCGATTCGCCGCCTCAAAATTCCGGCGAACCGCTTCGAACCGACATTCCCCGAAAACCCCCGGGCGGCGGATACGCACACCGCTCGATGACTTTCCAAAATCAGATCAATCGTCATAAAAATACACATCCGAACGGTAATATACAAACATTTTTCCGATGGAATGCTCCGATATACCCCGATTCGCACATCCCGCAGCGAACGGCATACGCGAACGAAGGTCGGGACGGAAGAACCGGTCCGTACGAAAAGGGAAGCGATCGCCTGCGGACGGCCGCCTCACATCGGAGAACGTTGCGGTTATCGGACTCAGAACCGGCAGGCAAGCCGAAACGTCCGGCGGATTTCAGACGAACAGGTCGTTCAGCGCTTCGCTGACGCTCGGGTGCGTGAAAACGAAATCGCGAAGAAAAGCGGCAGTGCGTCCGGATTTCATCGCCACGGCGACCGTATTGATGACCTCGCTCGATTCGGGACAAAACAGCGTACATCCCAGAATCCGGTTCGTGCGGGCGTCGATCACCGCTTTCAACAGGCCGTCCGTCTCGCCGATGGTCCGCATCCGGGGAATCGAAGCGACGGCTATCCGTTTGACCCGGACATCCAGGTTGTTCCGCGGGCCGTCTTTTCGGTAATGCCGATGTGCGACAACGGCGGGTCGATGAATACGGAGTAGGCCACCGGATTGCGGTCGCCGGTTTTCCGCACCGCCGCGCCGAACAGGTCGTCCCGGATAATCCGGTAATCGTCCAGCGAAATGTAAGTGAACTGGAGTCCCCCCTTCACATCGCCGATCGCGCGGATATTCGGATTGGACGTCCTCAGCCGATCGTCCACGATGACGGCCCCGCGCGAATCGACCTTTACGCCGGCAGCTTCGAGATTCAGTCCTTCGGTCGCCGGCCGGCGGCCCGCAGCGATCAGTACGGCGTCCGCTTCCAGTTCCCCGACCCGGCCCTCCCCGGCCTGCCGCCAGGATACCTTCGCCGCCCCGCCGGAATCGCGCACGGACAATACGTCGGCGCCCGTTCGGAAAACGTCCCCTTTTTCTCAAGAGTCTCCCGGACGCTGTCGGCGACATCCCGGTCTTCCCTCGGCATCAGCACAGGCCCCCCTTCGAACACCGTCACTTCCGAGCCGAAAGAGGCGTACATGGAGGCGAATTCGAGCCCGATGTACCCGCCGCCCACGATCGCCAGCCGGCGCGGCAACTCCTTCAGCTCCATGATCGACGCGCTCGTATGGACGAAACGGCTCGCAGACAGCCCGTCGATCGGCGGCAGGACGGTCTCGGCCCCGGTATCGATAAAGATGTATTTCGCTTTCAGCACCTGCCTGCCTTCCGCGCCCTCCACCGAAACCTCGTCCGGGAGACGAACGAGCCGACGCCGGTATAGACCGCGATCCCCCGGACGGTCGGCCAGGTTGTGGTAATTCCGGTCGCGCAACGACGAAACGACCTCTTCCTTGACCGCGACGGCCCGGCGGTAAAACTCTTTTTTCCGGTCGAACGGAAGTTCGAGGCGCATGGCCGCCGCTTTCGCCTGGTGTATCAGCGTTTTGGTCGGAATGCATCCGGTATTGATACAAGTTCCGCCGTACATCTTCTCGAACGTTCGACTACGGCCACCGTCCATTCGCGTTTGGCCAGTTCGACGGCTAAGGTCTTTCCGCCTTTGCCGAAACCGATAATAATCGCATCATAAGTCTTCATCGCCGTTGTTTTTTTGTTCGTTCAATAGCCTTCTGGCCGATTCGGAGAGCAGGATCACCGCCCCGGCCAAAATCGCGATATCTTTGACGACCAGCCTCCCGCGCCCCGCTCAGCAGCGGAAATCCGTGCTCCGCCCCGAGGTCGGGAACCCACGCTTCGGGAGTCGTCGCAAGGAACGACAGGGTGCCGACAGTCATCAGGATTGCAAGGATTGCACCACAAGGCCCGCTTTCGGAAAAAACATGCCGAGAAACGCCAGCACCCCGATCCCCATAATCAGGACGCCCAGTCCGCGCGAGAACCCGTACGTATTGTTCGCCGTATGCCAGTCGCGTTTAGCCGGGTCGAATTCGCCCTCGCGGAGCTTGTAATCCCTGTATTCGGGCGCGGATTTCGTATAGAAGAAGCTCATGAAAGGGCTGTTGGCGACGAAAGGGACGATCCCTTCGGCCTCGTAATTCCAAAATTTCAGGCCGCCGATCCAGACGAAGATCACGAAGATAGCGACACGCATCAGGCCGATGCCCAGTTTCCGGCAGCCGGCAGTCAATCTCAGCGAACCGACGTAAAGTTTTTTGAGTTCCGTCATCATCATTTCTCTTTGAGGTTTAACGATGATGCAAAGATCCGCCGTTTACGCCGGCCGTAAATGGCGATTCTGCCGGATGTGTTGGCAATTATTCCCTATTTCCGGCTCCGGTATTCCGAAATGCTTTTCCCGGTCGCCCCTTTGAAGAACCGGCTGAAAGAGGCCGCGTCTTCGAATCCGAGGATACGGCGACCTCCTTGGCGCTTTTCGAAGTATAGAGCAGCAAACGCCGGCTTCGGCCTGCGTCCGGTCGCGGATGACCTGCAACGGCGACGGCAGGCCGTAAACGGCGAAAAGATTCGACAGCGTTTTCGGGGAGCGGTGCAGCAGAAGGGCATACTCCTGCACCTGCTTCTTTTCACGGAAGTACCGGTCGACCAGCACATAGTACCGGCGGACGATGTCGAACTGCCGTTCGCTGCCCGCCCCGGCTGCGAACCGTTCCCGCGCCATGCGCGTACAAGTAATGATAAAACGTTTCAACAGAATGCGCAGCATCTCTTCGCGCAGGTTGTCGGCGACGGCGTACTCGGCAGCTATCCGGTCGGTGATCTCATGCAGCGCTTCCGACTGTCCGGCGGTCAACTTCAGCCGCATAACGTCCGACGATCCGTTGAACAGCAGGCCGTTGCACGACACTTCGTCGTCGTGCCCGTAGATGCAGTAAAAATCGCTGTTGAACAGCAACGCCAGATACTCTGCGCCGGACTCCCCGAATTCGATCCGGTGCAACGGAGTGAGCGAAACGATCTCGCCGGCGGCGAGTTGCGTTTCCACATGGTCGATCACGAGAGTTAGCGTCCCGCGCTGCACCCAGATGAATTTATACAGGCTCCGGTCCCGGCGCAGCACCGGATCGGCATGAAAGCTGCTGGTCATCGCGACGACTCCTTTCAGACGGGTGGTAACGCTGTAATCCATAGGGCTGCTGTTTTCCGATAGTAAAGATAAGCATAATCCGCCGATAAAACCGCATCTTTCGGGACAGCGCAACCCTCCGTTGCGGGAAAAACGTCCCATTCGGGCGAAAATGATTACCTTTGCAGTCGTTCCCGAAAAACACGGCTATGAACATTCGCCCCCCCGAAACCCGGCTGTTTGCAGATCCGACGAAAAGAAAAAGATACCTTTTCGCCCTGACAATGATCCTGCTGATGGTAGCGGTCGCCGAACTGTCCGGCGAAAAAGAGATCATTTTCCCGGAAATGCAGCCCTCACGATCGGCATGTGGATAGTCGACAAGCAGGTATGGCGGGTCAGCCGCGCGCGGATGGTGGCGCTGATGACCGCAGGCGCCGTAGCCGGAGTCTGCATCGTGCGCTACTCGCCGCTGCCGCTGATAGCCGACATCGCGGTTTCGTTCGCCTTTACGGCCGTATGCCTGATGCTGTTCCGCGCTTCGCTGCCCCCGCTGATCTCGGCGGGCATGCTGCCGATCCTGCTTGGCACCGACAGTTGGATCTATCCGGCGGCCGTACTGACGATGACCCTGACCGTAGCGGCCGGGCAACGCCTGATGGAACGGGCCGCCTGCGGACGGCAGCCGATTTTACGCCGGCTGCAACGGAGGAAAAAAGAGACGCTCCGTTGGTTGTTCCTGCTCAGCACGATTCTAGTCGTCGCGGCCGTTCCGGTCTATACGTCGAACCTCTATTTCATTCTGCCGCCGCTGATAGTCACCTACGTCGAATTCGCCGGATCGAAAGCGGGCTTCCGAAACCGGCCGGTTCAGATCTTCCTGCTGCTGACGGCCGCCGCTTTCCTGGGCACGCTGTTCCAGTGGCCGGGCACGTCCGTATGCAATGGCCCGAATGGGCGGTAGCGCTCGCGGTCTTCACCAGCCTGTTCCTGCTGTTCGAACGCATCGGCAAATTTTTCGCTCCGGCCGGAGCGGTCGCGCTGATCCCGATGATCGTGCCGCAGGAAGACCTACCGCTACTGCCTTCGAGATCGCCGCCGGCGCAGCCCTGTTTATCGCCGCGGCAATGCTGCTGTTCCAGCAATGTTACCGTGGCAGCGGGCTCAGTTGATCGTTTGCCTGGTTCCGGTTCCGCTGCGGAAACACCTGAACCGGGACGGACGCCGGATGCGGAAAGCGGTACGGAAATTTTAGATCAGCGTCATCCGGGACTGCAACATGTCCAGTATCTGCCTTTCAACTGTTTCGCATTGATCGGCTTGGGCATGTAACCGTCGAACCGTTCTGCATCACTTTCTGCTCGTCCGACGCGAAAGCGAAGGCGGTGACAGCGAGCACGGGCACGTCGGAAGATATTTTACGGATCTCGCGCGTGGCTTCGTAACCGTCCATCACCGGCATATTGAGATCCATCAGCACCAGGTGCGGCCGGTATTGTTCGAATAATTCGACGGCCTCTTTTCGTTCCACGCATGTACCAGCCGGTAATCGTGCCGGAGAATGGTTTCGAACAGTCTGTAATTACTGTCGTCGTCCTCGGCGATCAGGACGGTCAGTTTGTCTTTTCGACCGCCACGAGCGGACGCTCTTCCGCTCGTCCTCCGGCCGGAGCGTGGCCGGCGTATAAGGGATCGTGAACCAGAACGTCGAACCTTTGCCCTCTTCGGACTCCACGCCGATCCGTCCGCCCATGTGCCGGACGATCGTATGGCAGATCGAAAGGCCGAGACCGGTGCCCTGTTCGAAGTGGTTCAGCTTGACGAACCGTCCGAAAACGCTGTCTTTCTTATCCTGCGGAATTCCGCAGCCGGTATCGGTCACGTAACAATAGATCTCCTGACCGCGCAGTTCGTAGCCGAACCGGATACTTCCCTGCTTGGTAAATTTGATCGCATTGGATATCAGATTGATCAACAATTGGGAAAGCCGGTTTCTTTCGGAGCGAATAGGACATTCGGCCAAGGGCGTTCGAACGCCAGCTCCACCCGATCCGTCTTCAGGCGCATCCGCATCACGCGTTCCTTCTCCTGCATCAGTTTCGTTCAGATCGAAATCCGAATAGACGAATTCGAGCGTTCCGGCTTCGATCTTCGACAGATCGAGAATGTCGCCGATCAACTGCAACAACAATGCGTTGTTGTTCTCGATAATGCCGACGTACTCCTGCTTCTCCTGCTCCGAATCGGACAATGCCAGAATCCCCGAGAAACCGACGATCGCATTCAGCGGCGTCCGGATTTCGTGGCTCATATTAGCGAGGAAAGCCGACTTGAGCCGGTTGGACTCTTCCGCCCGGTCTTTGGCCGACATCAACTCTTGCTCCATCTTCTTCCGCTCGGTAATCACCTGCGACGAACCGACCAGCACCAGCGGTTTGCCCGATCCATCCCATGTCTCGACGCCGCCTGCGCCTCCACCCACTCCTGCCGCCTACCCCCGGCCTTCGCCGACGATCACCCGTACTCCTCCTTCACTTTCGCTACCCCGCCTTCCGCCAAATCCCGGTAAGCGCGGCGCACCCTTTCCCGGTCTTCCCGGCGGATTTTGGCGAAATACTGCGTATCCGGCACGGAAAGCTGCTCTTCCCGGACATCGCCGTCCAGTCCGCCCAGTTCGATCGGCCGGTTCACATCGCACAGAATGGTGCGTTCCCGCAGGTTCCACTTCACGGAACGATGCTGGCTATCTCCAGGCCATCGACAACTTCTTGTTCGTAGTGGAAAGTTTCTGCTGCACGTCGTGAAGCTGGGTGCTGTCCAGGCAAAATAGTCTATAATTCCCGGCATATGCGAACAGCACAGCACCACCTCGTAGAACGTGTCGATCGACTTAAAATAGTAAGTAAAAGTAATGCTCCGCCGTTCGGCGATCGCGATCCGGATAAAATGCAGGAATTCGGGCATCGACTCGGGAAAAATTTCGCTTCCCTTCTTGCCGATAATTCGCTCCTTGGGATAGAACGACCGTTCGAAAGACCGGTTCACGTCGCAGAACACGGTATCGACCGGATCGCCGGATTCGTCCAGCACTACACGCTCCTGCATGTATATGATCGGCATGTTGTCGAACAAGTTCGTATAGTTTTCACCGATCTGGATCTCCGCAGTTGCGCCTTACTGAGTTTTTGTAACATGCGGTTGCGCTTCGACTGAAAAAGAAGCAGGGCGACGACGAAAAGAACGACCGTCCCGAAAAGGACGTACTTGTACTGCTCGAAAAAAGAGGAGGCCGGTTGTAAACCACCGCCCCTTTCGGCGTATCGGCCAGAGAAAACCCGTTGCCGACCAGCGATTCGTAATTGAACGTAGGAATGCCCGCGCGAAAATAAACGGAATATCCCGCGGCTGACGACCGGCCAGCACCCCGGAAATGGTTTCGATCAACTTTTATTGAACGCTTCTTGACTGTAAACGAAACCGCCGACGATACCGTTGGAATCCCTGATCCCCGACGGATGCAATGAAAAAAACGGCAGGGCGAACGTGGTGATTCCCCGGTAAGCGTCCGTCATCAGCACGGTATTGCCCACGAAGTTTTTTTATACCACCAGGACGAATAGAGTACGCCCGTGGTTTTCCTGTCGATCGTTTTCAAAGAATCGAACAACTGCCCGGTCGTCATGTCCGCCGCGGAAAAATAACGGTAGCTTAGTTTCCGGATAATCCGTCCGCATCAGTTCGGAGAGTTCCTGTTCGTCCTGCCGGTTGATATACAAGTCGTCGCCCAGGAATACCAGCTCTTTCATTCCCGGAATCATCCGGCGCATCAGATCGACGCTCTGTCGCAGAAAAACGGGCGTTTGCAAGACCGTCAGGTTGTACTCCGAAACCAATTCGGACAACGGGGTTCTCTGATCGGGCGGAATCGGATTTCGCTTCAGATACAGGCTGTCCGTTCCCACATACTCCTTGTCCGCGCAAAAAAGGATCGGAATGTCGCCCCAGTGTTTTTTTACATCTTCCAGCAATATCTTCGCCGGGTTCCCGATCAACAGCAGCATCCGGGGCGGGTGTTCCCGGTAATTCGCGAACAGCCTCCGCTTGAACTCGGTCGCCAGCGTATCGTTGTCGATCAACAACATGTTCAT